TCCTTTTGAGATCAGCTCCGTTTCTAGCCCTCGTCCATGTAGCCTAGGAAAGCTAAGCACATTGTAGTGCAGCTAACTGTTTACTTTTTTCCTCTCCACAGGAGACAGGCTGATGGTAATTATGTGTTTAATGTCTGTCTCTTGAGCTGGTAAATCCCTATGGGCGTGGGCTGTGGCTGTCTTATTACCACAGTGTCTCCAGCACATAGCACATGGAGTAACAAATGAAGGCAACACTTTTGCAAGGCTAAATGGAAGCCAGGCCAGGAAGTGACCCATGAACTTCACATATGCTAACTCATTAGGGCTGCGTGCAACTACTGAGGTTCATAGTATTAGTAGTCCCAAGGCACTGATAAGAAAATAGACAGAGAGGTCAATGATTCCCCATAAGTATATAGCTAGATTGAGATACCAACTTGCTCTTGGTTTGCACTTTTGCCATGATATTTCATTCATTCATGGATGGATGGATGGATGAGTGGGAGAGTAGGTGGGTGGGAGGGAGATGGATGAAGGGGTGTGTAGGTGGGTGGATGGGTGGATGGATGGATGGATGAATGAATGAGTGGGTAGGTGGGTAGATGGATGAATAGATGATGGATAGATGGGTCTTTGGATAGATGGGTGGATAAATGGGCAGATGGATAGATGTATTAATGGATGGAAGGGTAGATGTGTGGGTGGATGGGTAAATGTACTATGCTTGAACATTGGTACAATTTGTCTAAGTATAGATTGTAGATAGTTTATGAGAAAGAGTTTTGGATTAGGTCACAAATATTTCCCATCCATCTCCACTTCAGAGCAAACTCTAGGTCACTGTGGTAGTTTACATAAGAATGACTGACCTAGGCTCATAGATTTGAATATTTTGTTACCAGGGAGTTGCACTATTTGAAAGGATTAGGAGGTATGGCTTTGTTGGAGGAAGTGTGTCACTGGGTGTGGGCTCTGAAGTTTCAAAAGCCCACTCCAAGCCCAAAGTCTCTGTCCTTTTGCTGTCAGCGAATCTAGATGTAGAACTCTCAGCTCCTTCTCCAGCCCCATGTCTACCTGCATGCTGCATGCTCCATTCCATGATGAAAATGGACCAAACCTTTGAAATCATAAGCAAGCTCCAATGAATTGTTTTATAAGAGTTGCCGTGGTCATGGTGTCTCTTCACAGCAGGAGAACACTAAGAAGGTCACCTCTTTGTTTCCTTCTTCAGTGTTCCCAGCACCCCTCAGCCAGCACAGAGATGGAGAGGAGGCAGGGGCATGCTCCCTGAGAGAACAGTGGAAGCTCTGGATTTCTGGCAGAGTGTTCACATTCGGATGAGGAGGGAGGCCCTCCTGAGTGACTCTGGCTCCCTGGAGTTGGATGGGGAGGGAGGCTTAAGAACAGATGAGGCCCAGGATGGAACTAGGGATGCATGGGGACACAAGTCAACCTCTCCACATGCAGGACTCCCGTGTTCAGCTCCTTCCCTCATCACCTTCATGTCTACCCTTCCAGAGTTGGTCTGTGTGGATTTGGATATGGGTGGTGTACTTGTACATAGACAGTCCCTAGCCGTGTTTCCTTCATAATCTGGAGAAATTGTTTTAGATGAGACACAAAGAGATACGTCATGTTAGGTCTGGTGAGATGACTCGGTAGCTAAGGATGTTTGCTGCCACACCCAACACTCTGAATCCAATCCGTATGCATGTGCGAGAGAGCACAAACAAACAAACAGACAAAATGTAAAAAGGAAAAAAAATTAAAGACTTTGCTCATTTAAAAACTAGTTAAGTGATCTGATGTTTCCTGGTCTGGATGTGGTTTGAATGTGTGCCCTACAGTGGTTATGTCTTGTTTGTTTGTTTGTTTCTTTGTTTGTTTCTTTGTTTTGAATTTGTATTTTTTATGAGTTTGGAGACAGGGTTCCTCTGTGTAACTCTGGATGTTCTGTAACTGATACTGTAGACCAGGCTGGCCTCAAACTCATCATGTAGTCCAGTCTGGCCTTAAATTGGCAGTCCTTCTTCCTCAGCCTCCTAAACACTGAGACTAAAGACATGTACCATCAAGCCTGACTACTAAACATATATGTATATATTTATATTTTTCTATCCATATTTTCTTAAATAAACTACTCAGTTTCAGGTATTTGCTGTAACAGAAGAAACAAGACAAATACCACACATATAATATTCAATATAACCAAACTTGGATGTGTTTAATTAGCTTCTACTTAGTTGTTTCTAAATTACTTATATGACAAACAGCACTGTTGTGCACTCTGGGATTTTATTCACTACTTGAAAATATCTTAGGATGCATTCCTGGAATTGAATAAAGCAAAGGGGTGGCTCCGTGAAGGTGGAATTTCAGTCATCTACCATAAGAGTGGACCAGATATTTTTACTCTGGCGTTGGGGTGTGTCAGACCCTGCTGAGTGGATGATTGTCTTTGGGGCCCAGTGTAGAGAGAATATCTTGTGTATTGTATGGATGTATCACCTGTCAGTTTAACAGCCTGTGGCCTAGGGCTTAGGCAGGAAATAAAGGTGGGAGTCTGGGATAGAGCAGGCATGGGAAGATGCAACGAGACAGTCGTATGGTAAGAACAGAACATACTGACAGGTAACCAGCCACGTGGCAAAACATAGTTTAAAATAAATGGGTTGTTTTAGTTATGGTCTACTCATGAATTACGGACTTTATGTAACTTCTTGCACTTCCCTTGGCCTCTTTTTCTTGTCCACAAAGAGCTTAACTTTCCTTAGGGGCCATTATAAATAGATGATGGCTGACTCATCGTGGGTGCCCAGAGATGGTGGCAGCTGCTGTCATTTGTTATGAGCAGACAGTGTCTGGCTGCTTAACCTCTGTTCAGGGAATAACCCCTAAAATTGGAAGTTAGACACCAGATGGGATGCTGCTGTTTTTCCTTCCTGCTGAACAGCATGTGGCAAACCTGCCATGCGCATTCCACAGGACAGGTTTCTACCTACCCATAGTTATTCCTCAGCTGGGAAATCATTCGAGACTCCACCTTTATTTATTTATTTTGGTGGGTTGGCTGTTGTTGGCTTTTTGTTTTTCAAGACAGGACTTCTCCATTATAGCCTTGGCTGTCCTGGCACTTGCTCAGTAGACCAGGCTGGCCTCAAACTCAGAGATCTGCCTGCCTTGGCCTCCAGGGTGCTGGGATTAAAGGCATGTGCACCTGGCTTATCCACTTATATTTCTTTTTTTCTTTTTCTTTTTTTATTGGATATTTTATTTACATTTCAGATGTCATTCCCTTTCCCCATTTCCCCTCCCTAGAACCCCCATCCCATCCACCCCCCTCCTTTTTGCTTTCTTCCTTGACTATTTGCATCTATTGTATTGCTAGTCCCTCAACCTAGAACTGACCTGAATACTTGCGTGTAATCCCCTTATATTTCTATTAACAATAGATAAATAAAGGGAAGGAAGGCAGCATCCCTCAGGTGATGGACTAAAGCTATAACTGATGTCTAGCCTAGCTTTCACTTGCTGTCAGCTGCATGCATGGATGTCTCCTTCAATGGGGTTTGGTACACAGTCCTTCATCCTCCAGTTACCCATGGAGCTGAGACCAGTTGCCTCTGACTGCCATTTCTCATGTAGCTGCAGAATAATTCTCTTTGGCCTTTACCAAGCGACAGACAGAGGTGTTAAGTCCCCTGCAGTGACTCTGGGAACCCCAGACATCTAGGATCTCAGCAGCTGACTAGCTGCTTGGCCTGGAGTCAGGCCTGCCAGGCCGGCCTGCAAGCACTACTTCAACCTACCAGAGCAGCTGCCTTAGGCCTCACAGTTGCCTTCCACTGGGGCTGGAATCCAACCTCACCTGACCTCTCCTGCTCTCCAACCCTGCTAGGACTAACTGTTCCCTCCTCGGTGTCCTCTTTGTTTGCAGCTATTAAACCAAAGCTCTCAGGTCACTTTTAAATGCATCTCTCTCCTTCTTAGAACAATCTTGTTCTTTTGTTTGTTTGGGATTGGATTCTATACAAGCTCAAATCTTTCTTAAATTAGACCTGAAGCGTACATGGTTTTTTGTTTTTTGTTTTTTTTACCTAAGAGACTGGCTAGAGTTAAAAACACAAATTGGTGGTTTTGAATCTCATTGAATGCGTCTCTTTTGATAGAAAGGGTTGTGGAAAATTAGGCTTATCTGAATCCCTCACTGGAGCACTGCTCTCAAGACAGACTTTCTTCCACTCTGCAATCAGCCAGTCATTCAACCAACACTTGCTTTTATTTTCTTATGCCAGGCACATGGCCTATTTGGATAAAAAGGATGTGGGTCAGAGGTCAGTGCCATTAGCTAACCCATCTATCTGAGCACTCTGTACCACAAGAAAAATTAACTTACAAGATTTTACTCTGGGCATAATTTTCTCTAGTTTTGAGACCATTTCTATATTTTGAAATAATTTTTAAACTTCATATGAGGTGTATGTGTCCACAGGTATTCACACATGTGGGATGGGGTGTGTGGGCCACATGGGTACGTGCGTGCATTGAGGCCAGAGGTTAAGGTTGGAGATCTTACTTCTATTTATAATCTTAAAACACATTCTATGCTTAACATGTATAATATTTATTTATTTGCCAAAACCCAAATAAACCACTGTGGGTAGAGGGGGCATGAGCAAAAAATGCCAAGTTCCTACCTTCTAAGAACTCATCTAAACATTAAGAGTCGCAAGAGACAGCTTGTGGAGCTGACATTTCATTTGTGATTATAGGTTTCACTCCCTCCTTTACTTGGTCCATAGAGAGAATTCAGGCTATTTTACTTGGATTGTCATCGGTGTTCTGGAGCCCGTGGGGGAAGTCTAAGCTGTGGCTGTGTCTGTGTCTGCCAGGTACCTGGGAGAGAACGGAGTTCAAAGTCACCAAGTGTTGGGATAATCCAGGGCATAGAATCCAACGCGAACTCTGTGCCTATAGGGAAACTGCATCTAACCTCTCTCCCTTACTCCACTGCTCAGGTTCCCGGCCGCTCACTCTGGGACGGGATGATATCCTCACTTCTCTTGAGGTCCTGTCTTCCCTCTGCCATAAGGAATATACTCAAGGCAGCACCCATCAGAAACTCATCCAGCATGATGGAAGGTAAGTGGGAATAGACATTTGTCTGGGTATTTGTTTGGCTGGTTCTATACAGACAGGGTCTCATGTAGCTAGCCCAGGATGAATTCAAACTCATTACATAGCTGAGGATGACCTTGAACTCCTGACCCTCTGACTTCACCTACGTACACACACGAGCGAGCACGCGCGCGCGCGCGCGCGCGCGCACACACACACACACACACGCATATCAGATATGCCACTGACCTAAGTACCACCGATAGTTCACAGTTCAAACATTTAAAGAATTGGATGTAGCTCGATGGTAGAGAACTTGCCTATTATGCTCAAGGCCCTGGTTCTATTCCTCGCACCACAGAACAATTAAATAAATAAATAAATAAATAAATAAATAAATAAATAAATAAGGAAGAAAGAAAATAGCGTATAGATTTTTCTAGTTATGCTACAAACACCAAAGGACAAACCAGCAGTGTGCCTAATGTCCTTAAAGCAAGAGAGTTCTTATTTAGCATTTGCTGTGTCAGGCCTCTGTTATTATTTTTGGGTGAGTGGATAATTTGTACACCCTAAGTAACGGCTTGAGACCATAATTTTCATAAGTCTATAACTGAGGCTCAGGTCTGTGGAGGAGTTCCTCTGCCTGCAGCATGAGGCTGGACCACTCAAGGGCTTCTCTTTCATATTCGATGTCCTCTGGGGTGACTGGACCAGAAAGCCTAAAGATGTTTTCTATGGAGCCTCTCTCTGCTGGCTACTTTTTACCGTCAATGCCAAGTATCACCTGGGAAGAAGGAACCTTAACTGATAATTTTCTCCAACAGATTTGTCTGTGGCCATGTCTGTGGGGCCACTGCTAATTATTTTAATAGGTCCCAGCCCACTGTGGGCAGCTCCATCCCTAGGTAGGTGGGTCGGGGCTGCATATGACAGCTAATTGAGCATGAACCAGTAAGTCAATCAGTGGCATTCCTCCACAGTTTCTGCCTCTGTTTTTACTTGGGTCCTTTCTCTGACTTCCCCTAAATGACGAATTGTAACCCAGAAGTGTAAGCCATATTAAATCCTTTTCTTCTCAAGTTGCTTTTGATCATAGTGTTTCTCACAGCAGTAGAAAGACAAACTAGAACACTCTCCAACACGGTGAAAACTTCTTTCTGAAGTAGTTCAGGAGTCCAAGAGAAAGCAGTCCATGAAGTATATATGCAAGCCACGGCTTTAGACTGTTCACACTACAGATGTCCTAATGCTGTCTCAGCCAAAACAAGTCACATGACTAAGGCCTGAGCCGATGAAAGCTAAGCCCTGAGTCAATCAAAATGATCTATTACTATGTGAATGGCAAGAAGCAGAGTTTGTATAGATTTCCTAGATCTATCAAAGCCATTGTACACAGCACACGTGAGTTTCACCCCAGACAGTGACTGGCTCCTGGACCTTCAGGAGACTGTGGGTCTGAGCAACCAAGGCCTTAGGCCTCCAGAGTAGAGTGAGGGTGTGATTTCCTGCTTTGCTCTTCACTGGAGGTACACTGTGAGGAACCCGTGTGTCTTTCCCAGGCTTGTTTTCAAAATGGAAATGGGGATGGGCTCCTCCCCAGGACCTTCTAGAGGGCCGCTTGGGGTGTTAAAGGCCTTCCAAGCCAAGTGCTACTGTGGAATGATCGATCGATCCATCAGGAGAATGTACGTTACGTGTCCCCAAAGCTAGAAACTCCAGGCTAGAGCTGAGTTTTACAAGCTTTAAATCCAATTGAGAGCACTAAAGTGTTTTTTTCCTGTTTCTTCTTGTTTAAAAAAAAATGGATTTTTGGTTAAAAGACTCAGAATAAATCACTCAGTTTCCCTCCACAAAGAGAAAGTGCCGGGACCTTAAATGGAACCCGAGAGCCCCTGGGGATGCATGAATCACGCTGGGCTATGAGGCACCCTCACCTAGAGGTATGGTCTCCCCCACCATGCTCTAAAGAGGGACCTTAAGACAGCCATTCCATATTGTGTTGCTAATGGGAACAACTCAGGACTTTTCTATTCGTCTCCCTCAGTGGAGATGAACAAAACCTAAACTCAGCTCCCGAAGTGCATTTAATTAAAAAGGAAACAAAGAAGCTTTGTATCCCTAATGCCTCTCTGATTTATTGCATTAAAAATCCAATCTGTCCTCACAATAGGCTTTGGAGGGAAGAGACAGAGGAGAGAGGAGGGAAGGCCTTTAAGCTGGCTTCCTCCTGCCACCTCACTGCAGGTGCAGGTCAGTGTGGACCCTCAGCTGTGCATGCTGGAGAAGTGCATCCTCCTCTTGCCCCAGCACCCTCCTTTGGAAAGCCTGTGGGTGACCTTGGCAGACACTGCATTTCCACAGGATGGGTCCCAGCACTGCCTCACCACTGGCTGGTCCTGGGGTTCACCCAGAAGATGGTCATGTCTACCGCACCTCTCTCTTCTCTGGAGAACTCTTGGATCTATCATACAAAGGCCCAATGGATACAGTGCCATGACAGAGAGGTCCTGAGTCACTTAGCACAGAGCGACCTGGAGCACCATAAGCACATGGTAAATGTCTGCTAATGGTGTCCTTGTAGAGCAGAAGGGCCCACGGGTTGATGGAGTACATCTGGCAGTTGGGAAGTTACTCCTCCAGTGGAACACAGCTCTCTGTCTGTGGTGTGGTCTTCTGTCTTAATTGTTGTAGCAGAACATGTGATACTGATATGTTATCTGCTGAGACAACATACCTGACAGAGGCAAGTTATGAGAGGAGGGGTTTGTTCTGGCTCACAGTTCCAGGCGATACAGTCCACTGTGGGAAGCTACAGCTGTAGGACCGGGAGGCGTATGATCGCATGGCGTCAGCCGTCGGGAAGCAGAGAGAGATGGACACCGCTGCTCACTTTCTCCTTTTTATTTAGTTCTGAACCCCAGCCCATGGAATGCTGCCATTTAGGGTGAGTCGTCCCACCTCCATCAACCTAGACTACACACAAATGCCTGCATGCCCAGATATTTGTTTCTAAGGTGATTCTAAGTCCCATCCAGTTGGTAATCAAGGTTAATCACCATAGTAGGTAATTTATGAAAAAAAAAAAAGAAAGAAAGAGTTTCTGTGAGTTTATGGTTTAGGAAACTAGAGAACTCAAGAGCCTGGTGCTGGAATCTAGAAGGGGCCCACGCACAACTTTAATTCATGGCGGAAAGCGGAAGGCAGGCCAAAGGGCACTCAGGAAGGATGAGGTTGCTTTAAAACAACTGCCTTTGTGGTGATCAAACAAGGCTAATGAGACTAAAAAGTCACGTGAGAAGGTATTAGCCCACTAGTGAGGGTCATAGCCTCATGGTGGCCCATAAACATCCCGTTAGGCTCTGCCTCCCAAAGGCACATAGAGGAACCAAAGTTTCACCTCATGACTTCTGGGGGCCTGTCTAAACAGTGTTAGTTTTATAACACTGGAAAATGTGTAGAGAAGAGTGTTATCGCTTGCAGCCTTGTCTCCTGGGAACAACTCTGATTATCATGCAGATATAACCCTTTGAGCTATTTCATCAGAGAGAGAAAGAGAGAGAGAGAGAGAGAGAGAGAGAGAGAGAGAGAGAGAGAGAGA